GGAGGGAGGCGGGGCGCGCGGGGAGGGAGGCGGGGCGCGCGGGGAGGGAGGCGGGGCGCGCGGGGACGGCCTGCGTCGGCTCTGAGGGCCCCCGCGTGCGGCGTCATGGCGCGCCTGCTCCGTGCGCTCTGGGGTTCGCCCTTTCGAGGGGCGCCCTTGCGGGCCGTGGGGGGCCCAGCGGGCAGAGGCGGCGCGGGGGCCGGTCCCGAGGACGCAGGTAGGACGCGGGCCGCGCAAGCCCCGCCGCCGCCTCCTGGCTTTCAGTTTTACTTCACCTGCCTGGACTAGAGGGCCCGAGCCCTGGTTCCGCACCTGGCTCTTCCTTCTCGAGAAACTATTTGGGTGCGCCCGTGTCCGCCCCTCCTTGTGGTCTTGGACGGTGGGTGGTACATTTAGAGGGGTGTGGGCGGTTGTTACTGATTTCCTCACCCCCCGTAAAATGTCGGGCTCAGGAGCCCCTGGCTCTTATCCCCGGACTGCAGGTGAACTGTCGCGGTGGTTGGGTCAGCGACCCGACACCGCGCGCTCCCTCCTGTAATGGCCTGTGGTCTTTCACACTGTCCCCCTCTTAAATTCTGCGTGCTGCTTTTCCTAGGTGAGAAGCAAGCAGTTCAGACTTTGGATTCCTGTGGATTTGCTTCCTGCCCTGCTGTTTCTCTGTGTGTGTCCCGGACCCAGGGAGACGTGTGGGCTAATAACTAGTTCCCCTTTAGACTGATAATCATTGTTCGTCATTGGCTACGAGACAGACCAGGGAAGTGTGTGTGTGTGTGTGTGTGTTTCTTCGAAATGCCTTTGGCTCCTCTGTTGGACTGTGGCACATTTGCCTTTCATCTTTTAGTATGGAGTCACCTGTGGAGACCTGTGTCAACGGCCCTGTATTTCAGATATATTTCAGGGTAATTTAGTGCTCCCTGTGCTTTGGCTTCATGGGCAACTGCCCCGCTGTCCCATCTCTGAATCCGATTGTGTTATGTAGCCATTGAAGAAATGTAAAGATACCTATCTCCTCTGAAAATGTATCCAGTCACTTGGACTTCTTTTTATCCCCTGAAGTTTTCAAAATGTAGTTTTAAATAAATAAAAGCACAGGCAGTGTGGAGTAGTGGCTGATCCAACATGACTTCCAGTCATGGCCTTCCGCACCTCTTGGTGTCGTAGTCAGCCAGTCTGATGATATTTGTTGCATACCTACTGTGTGCCAAGCATTGGTTTTCTGAGAACTACAGGTGATGGAAACATCATACTTGTAGGCTGGAGCTCTCCTCATTCCCCTTTATAGGATAGTGGTTTCAGTGGAAACTTGTCCTTTATGTTTGTCCTGGTGTTGTCAGAAATAGCCTAATGAATTGCCTTAGGATCTGAAGTTCTTCAGCAGCATTTAAAATTTGGCCAAACTCCAGTACATAACAGGAGCTGTGTAACTTATCAGACACCCCCTCCCGGGGGTGTCTCCCTTCCTTATTCTAAGGAACTAATTCAAAAGAACGAAAACTGTGTGTACAAAGGTGTTTTTAACAGCACTACTCTTAAGAACCAGAAACTGGCTATAACCCAAATGTCCATCAGTTAAAGAATGCTTAAGTAAGCCAGAAAAGTTCAGTTCAGCAAACTATTAGGCACCCATTAAAAATTATAGACAGGTAATAGTTGGTGGCTAAGGGCTTTGGTGTTGACAGTGCCACTTACTGGCTCTATGTCTTTGGGCACGTTCTAAACTTGGGCACGTCCTAAACTTGGTAAGCTTAAACCTGTTTTTTTCTTCTATAGAATAAGAATAATGGTAATAATAGGGTTGTACAGAATAAATGAAAAAAATTAAAATGCTTCATCAAAATGATTGGCACTTAGTAAGCACACAATAAATGTTAATTATAATTACGTAAATAAATGGAAAGGACAAAATGCAGCTACATTTAACCTATGTTATAGACTTAGGGAAGGTTGAAAGAGAAACAATAAGATGTTGATAGTGAGGGAGGACAGTTCCACAGCACTAAGATTTCTGATATGCAAGAGGTACCACCCCTATGATTTTGTCGTCAAGATTAACAAGAGCAAAGTCAGTGCTCAGTCTCTCAGTCGAGACTGAAAGAGGAAAGTAAGAAGTATCCTGGAGAAAACTGTTGTTTCAGGAAAACACTCCAGAAATACTTGGCTAGGAATCCATCCTGAGCATTGCTTCAACCAGTCCAGTTACTGGGGTGGGAAAGAAGACTAGTCTGCAAATTAGAGTGGGCTGGGGATTCGTTCTGTGCCAGTTCGTAATAGATTCTGTTAGTATCAACAAGTATTTATTGAAACAAGGCTTGTTTGTGTGTGACACTTGGCAGTATATCAGCTGTGGCCAGAAAGGTTAGCAAAACCAGAAGGAGGTAACCAGTAGGTGACCATATGACCAAGAGAGGGTGTTCTTCAAAGATGAGAAGATGTAAGCCCACCTCAGGAAACACATGACCAAGAAGAAAGACGGCCTATGCAAATCACAGCACAAAGAGAGAAAGGCACCCAAAGGACTCTGAGTTTTTCAAAGCCTAGTTCAAAGGAAAGCTGTGTAGCTATCTAGTACAATAGCAGAGCACCCAAGTCTTTTGTTAGTGAAGATAGCAAGAGAATGCAGAAGGAATCTGGAAGACACGCGGCCCCAAAAGGACCAACTCAAGGTGCAGGTGATGTGGGTTGAGAACATAAAACACCTCAGTCACGCACAAAAGGATGGGAGGACCAATGCAGAATCCTCTCTGGCCACTGCTGGCCACGTGACCTTACTCATTCCTAAATTCTCACTTGTTGTGTGTTGTATGTACAGGTACCAAATTGCTGTTTGGTAAAACCATGCAGAATTTACTCGTGATACAATTTTCATTCAGAATTTAGTTTCCAAAAGCATGGTATATTAGTTGGCTGGAACAGCCACAACAAAACACCACAGGCTGGAAGGTTGAAACACAGAAATTTACTTTCTCATCATTCTGGAGGCTGGAAGTTCAAGATCAAAGTATCAGCAGGGTTGGTTTCTCCTGGGGCCTCTCTGGTTTGCAGATGGCCGTTTCTCTGCTCACGCATCCCTAGAGTCTCTTCTTCTTCATATAAGGATACTGGTCAGATTGGGTCCATCCTTACGGCCCCATTTTAACATAATCACCTCTTTAAAGGTCCCATCTCCAAGATACAGCCAAATAGATTAGGGCCTACCCATATAAACTCGTTTGACCTTACTTATCTCTTTAAAGGCCATATCACCAAATACAGTTGCATTCTGAGGTACTGAGGTGTAGGACTTCAACATATGAATTTTGGGAGGACACAGTTCAGCCCATAACACCATGGTTACAGAAACCTCTGTAAGTGATGCAGACCACATACATGCTGACCTGAGGGCACCTAGCTGTCCACTGGTCATTTTGCTATTGAGGCAGAGTTTTCTTCTCTTGACAGAATCTTCCAGGCTGGCAGATTTACAGTTAAATTTTGCACAGTTGGTGCTCGAAGAGCAACTAGTCTGAACATCGTTACCCACCTATGAAATCTTTCATGCACACAGTGTAAAAGGTACATACTGATAAGGATTAGCGGAGCCATGAAAAATGTACTTTCTGATTTAGATGAAGGAGTAATTCTTCCATCTAACAATTTAAGTATTAGTTTTAAATTTTAAGCTAAAAAAAAAAAAGGGAGAAGGGGAGTATCTGAAAACAAGTAGTCATTCTAATAGGTACAGTAAAATACAGAACAATTGGAGAGGGAGCTGGGGTCTCATCCGGGATTCAGATTTTAGGTTCAAAGCTGAAGTGTGGGAGTCCCACTGAATTTTAGCCCTTCTGGAATTTCCACTTTCTCGCGTCAACTGTTGTATCATATTGCATGTGGAAAGACACTAAGGACAATGCTTCCAGGAGACAATCCAGTTTGTTTGTTTTTTTCCACTAATCCATTCCACTTCCTCCCCAAAAGGGGAAGGGAAGATAATAGCAGCTTTCCAGATTATAATTACTAATCTGCGTACCAAGAGTCAGTTTTCCTCTTAGAAATCCGTAGAAATAAGGCAAGATCTTTGCCAAAGCCAAGAATGTAGGTGGAGTGACATGGCAGGCCGGGTACTTGCAGGGTAAAGAAAGTGTTTTATCATGGTGCGCTGTTGCCCTTTCCTTAACAGATGTCAGTGATAGCCAGGGTTCGGGTTACGCACATTCCCCTCAAGACCAGTTTAGATTCTGGGAGGAGGAATCAAATCCTGCTAGCAAATCCTGCTCATGCTCTTGCCTTCCTTTTTTTCACTGTATGAAGTGGCCTCTGTGTGACCGATCCCAGCTTAGGTCATGCTGACAACATTGGCTCTGGCCAAATTTTGGATCTTGCCCTTTGTTGAAGGCTTACAAAATATACACATCTCTCGATCTTTTAAAGTGCCTAAAATGGAATGCCTTCCACTTCCCTTATGATTCAACACATAGTTCACATCCATTAAAACCAGTTCTAATCCTACTTGCCGTGGAGCCCAATGCAGGGCTTGAACTCACGACCTGGTCGAGACCTGAGCTGAGGTGAAGAGTCTGACCGGCTGAGCCACTCAGGTGCCCCTCCCACTTGCTGTTAAAACAGCAAAAACACCTTTCCCTGCTAAGTCAGCCTGAAAAGATTTCACAGTGTTCCCACCACTCAGCTGGTGGTTAAGCCAGCATTGCTTTGTAAAACTCTTCTATTGTTACCTTGATAGTTATCTAAAGCTTATACAGGCAATAAAATTTTCACAATTTAACTGGTCTCCCATATTTCATTTACCCAAGGTCAAGCTCAAGAACAGCTCCACAGCTCTTGCGTTTTTCTCCTAAATGATCAATTTATCCTCTTCACTGGATCATTCCCAGCAGCATACTAGAATACTGTGATCTTTCTCATCCTAAAAAATGCTCTTGACCTCACTTCCCCTTCCAGCTACCTCCGGAACTCCTGAAAGGACTTACCTGTTTGCACTGTCTCCCTTTCCTTCTTCCTATTCTGTATCAAATCTGTTCCAGCCAGATTCACACACACACACACACCCACTCCTCCACCTAAACTGCTTTTTCAGGGCACCGCTGACCGCCATATTGCTAAACCCAATGAATAATTATTAGTCATCTCTGTCTAGGACACCACATTCTTGCAGTATTCTTCCTGCCTCTCTGCTTGTCCCCATCTCCTCAATCTGTGTATCTTGGAATCCCTCCAAGTCCAGCCCTTGGGCCTCTCTGTTCTCTCGACAGTCTTTGACTTGGGAATCTTCCAGGCTGATGGCTTTAAATAACATCGTAACACTGAGGAGTCCCAAATTTATATCTCCACCTTGGACTTCTCCCCAGTTTCTAAATCTATCCAGTATCCAACTGCCTACTTGACATCTCCATTTGAATATTGAACTGAACATTGAATTTTGAAAATACTGAATTTTTATTAACAAGCCTCCAAACCTGTTCCTCCTGTAGGCTTCCCCATCTTCTACTGCTCAGACCAAGAAACTTGGAGTAGTGCCCCTTGACCGTATTCTTTCACGTACTTCACATCCGCTCTGTCAGCAAATCCTCCAGCTCTGCCATCAGAATACATCTGGTGTGTGACCCCTCTAAGCTTGACTACTGCCACCACCCTGACGCAGAACTCTTCCATCTCTCAGCCAGGTTGTTAAAGTGCCCTCTGTCTTGGGTGCCCTGCTGCAGTCTTTGGCCTCCTTCAATTTCTTTTAGTATATCAGCCAGGAATCCTTTTAAATATGCTAGGTCATGTCATGCCTCTGCTTACCTTCCAGTGACTTCCACACTTAGAATAAAAGCCACCATCCTTAGGGTAGCCTTCAAAAGCCTCGTTGGTCTTCCCCCTCCCCCATTAGCTTTCTGCTCTCACTTCTAATAACTTTCCTGTTCACTCCACCCATTCCCCCTGGCCTTCCTGCTATTCATCAAACATACCAGGCACACCCAACTAGTTTTTTCTCTTGCCTACATGCTCTTCTCCTAGATATTCACATGGCATATTTTCTCATTTTAGTGTGACAACATTGAACAGTTTGGGCAGTGAGAAAAAAGAAGTGGTGCAAATAGGGGAGAGCATAAAACTTAGGAGACTTTTGTGATCATCTCTACTGGAGTTAATGGTGGCCTGATCCAAGGTAGTGGCAGATAATGTGAGAATGAGCAGATCCTAGAGTTATTTAGGAAGTAGAAGCAACAGGGCTTGGGGCAAGGAAAAGGGAAGAGTCGTGTATGATGGCGTGGCATTCTGATTTGAAGCATGGGGTCAATGAGAACACATGAGAGGAGGGGCAGGTTTGGGTTGGGGCAGGGGAGATACGCGAAGTCCTTCTGTGTGTGGTGTTTGAAATGGGACATCCTCGTGGAGGTCTCCAGGTGTGGTTATATATGGATCTAGAACTCAGCAGAGATCTAGGATGGAGGGTAAAATAGATTTGGGAGTCTCATCATGTGGATGGTACTGTAAGCTACTCATTGGATAAAATCACCCAAGGGGCAGGTGTGGTGTGGTGATAGAAGCGAGCCTAGGATGATAGATTCATCTGAAAACCACCAGTATTCCAGGGATGGCTAGAAGAAGTGGGGCTGAGGAAGGACGCTGAAAGGGAATAACAGGAGAGACAAGAGTATTGGGCACCATGGAGGCCAAGGGAAATAAAAGCTACCACAGAAGAATGTCAGGTGTCAATACTATGGAGAAGTGAGAGAGAAGGATGAGGTATTCTAGGTTTTACCGAGAAGTCCTCAGTGGACTCTCTGAGAATGGATGCAGTGCAGTGCGGGGGAGGGAGGGTGCTGTGTCTTCAGGGCGTCACACCAGAGGCACGCGACGTCGGCTTGCCCCACTGTTGGTCATGCTTACTTGGCTTGCTTGGTTAAGGTGGTGACTTGTACATTTTTCCATTGTAAAGGTACATTTTCTTCCTTTGTAATTAATAATATTTTGAAAATGTGTGACTCTTCCATTCTTCAGCAGTTTCCCACCCAGGGTTTTAGAATTCCCTGATGATTCTTGCTTGAGTCACTTACTATTTTAGTGATTATAAAGATTTTTTAAAAGGTTTATCATTCTGGGCACCTGGGTGGCTCAGTCAGTTAAGTGTCTGCCTTCGGCTCAGGTCATGATCCCAGGGTCCTGGGATCGAGTCCCACATCGGGCGTCCTGCTTGGAGGGGAGACTGCTGCCTGCTTCTCCTTCTCCCTCTGCCATTCCCCGCCCCCCCCCCTGCCTTGTGCTGTCTGGTTCTCTCTCTCTCTCAAATAAATAAATAAAATCTTTTTAAAAAATAAAAATAAAAGGTTTATCATTCCTTGTCCATTTATTACTTGGCATTCTGCCTGGTAACTCTGAAAGCCACTGAGCAGCAATAATTGTCACATAAATACATTCTGCTTTGCTCCCCAAGAAATGAGTTCCAGAAAAATTGTGTATACCTGAGCTATATTTTCATAGGCAATTTCAGAGGTGCATTTCCAGAGTAAACAAGAAATCCCCATAGCCTTGTAAAAAGTATTTAAGAAAGGACAACTATTAATATATTTAACAGATTAAAAACCTTTTAATAAAATGTAAACAACCATAAGCAATCAACAATATACAATATGGAACATACCATATTGTATAGTATTATGAGCTAGCAATGAAGACAGTAGTCTTTTCTTACCTGAAAGATAATTTAGGACTTTTGGTAACCAAAAATGAATCTCAGATATGATTTTCAGATATGTTTCATATTTGGTGGTGATACCACAAATGTCTGACCTTTCATCTGTGTTCCTGTGATCAGGTTACTAAGCCTCCAGGCCTCTGTTTTCTCATTTGTAAGTCGAGGTGGACAGATTATAAAATCCTTTCCAATTCTTAGTGTTGGATGATTGACACATTGATTATACATGTCAGGCTTCCTATTCCCCTTTGGCTAAAAGGAGTATTGTCCTACTTGCTTTGTTTACACTCACTGGAGTAAAAGTAGTAAGACTGAAGCATAAGAATAGATTCTGGTAGGTCTCCATTTCCTTTCAGGGGCATCGGCTAGTCTCTTCTTTTTGCCACACAAGAAGATTTTTTAATAAAGACCTCCTTTGACAAACAAAATCAGAGAGATTTTTATAAACCAGCGAAGGAGAAGAGTTTAATAACCCACTAGCTCAAGGTTCTTTCCTCTCCAATCACTCAGCTACTCCCAGCTGTATCCTGACGGGAAATACTCCTCTGAACGTAGTCATAGAAGAAGGATCAATTTCTACCCCCCGGGTACCTGAGGAGAATTTATTCTGCATTATTTCATATTTGAGCTGCCTCTTTAGCTTCTGTACCCCAGTGGGACTGGAAAACTGGCTGGCGGCTGGCTGCTCCTTTCTTGTTAAACTAATGAGTCAATGGAAGCATTTTGTACTGGGGCTTTCTGGTCCCTGTGAAGAAGGAAGATGAAGGAGAGGGAGGGGACGGCCTTGTTCTGCTGCGGGGGGCCGGGGGGGTCATGCACTTCAGGAGAAAAGCTGAAGAAAAAACGTCGTTGGGCCTTTTTGTTTTAATTTTTTTAAAAATTCCTCTTGAACCACACAGGGTCTCTCCCAAAGCATGGGCCGTCTCTCACCAAGAGTGAATGGCAAAAGAAGCTGACACCAGAGCAGTTCTATGTTACGAGAGAAAAAGGAACCGAAGCGGTAAGCTGCGCCCATGACAGTTTTGCGATTGGAATGGTCCGGGATGGCGGGAGGGCGGGTTGGGAGAGATGTAGCTCCAGAAGCCGACTCACCCGCATCTGCTCTGCCAGTCTGGTCCTCCTGCGTGCTCCTCCCTCTCGGGCACCGCCGCCCATCCACTGGTAGGAGGCCCCGGATGCCTTCCCTCCCTTGCCTCCCCACCTCTTCTGCCCCCTCAGTAACCTTCCAGTTGCTCTGCTTCTCTTGCCTGATCTTGCCTCCACGCTGCCCCAGGTCTCCCCCCGCCTCTCGCTGGGTGGATGGCGTGTGGCAGCCTCAGGCCGTTCTGGCTGCCATTCTCTACGAGGCTGCCAAAGAGGAGAGTGCCTGGGTGGCTCAGTCGGTTAAGCAGTTAAGCGGTTAAGCGTTTGCCTTTGGCTCAGGCCATGATCCCAGGATCCTGGTGCAGGGAGCCTGCTTCTCCTTCTCCCGCTCCCCCTGCTTGTGCCTTGTGCACTCTGTGTGTGTGTGTGTGTGTGTGTGTGTGTGTGTGTGTGTGTGTCAAATAAATAAAATATTAAAAAAAGGCAGAAGAGATCTAAAAAACACAAATCCAACCACATCCCTGCACTGCTAACAATCCTTCAGTGGCTTCCCACTACTTCCAAGGTAAAGAAAAAAGTTTACAAACGGCTTATTAAGCCCTACCGACTCTGCCCCCTGCCTTCTGCCCCTATCCTCAGTCTGGCTGTTTTTCCTCTTTATCTCCACACTTCGACCACACTGCCCTTCTTTCAGCTCTCAGACACCCTAGGCTCCCTTGTCCCTAAGGCCCTCAATTGCTGTGACCTTCTTCTCTCCCCTCACCTCGCCCTGTTCATTCAGACATACCTCCTCCCTCAGCTCCAATCCCATGTGCTTGGCCCCAAGCTGGGCTTGCTTTTCCCAGCACTCTCCCTTTAGAGCATTTGCCGTTGGGACAGTCCTGGCACCTAACATCGTGCCCGGCTAGAGTCTGCACTCAGAGAGTAAATTTTTGTGAGTACTGCATGAGTGCAGGCTGAGAGGTGCAAACATTATTTAAATGGCATTCATCAAGCTCAGCTTCCGTTCATTTCCGGAGGGAATTGTCCTCAGTGGTTCCTCATTATAGTTCTGTTTTCCCAACACAGTGTTTCTTCACAAGTCGTCTGTCTTAGACCCAAATATAACCCTTGGAATAGAGCTGTTGAACGTGGTTATTAGACATTTTCATTTGTGAAGCAGACCCCACAGAGTGGACCACGGTGGTTTTGCAAAGTTGTAGAGTATATATATCTTTTCGTCAGCAGTCCCTGCAAAGTCCAGACAGCTGTCCATGTGCACATGGCCTTATCATCATGGTGAACCCTCAGCTTCTCTGATGCTGAAGTCGTTAGGTCAGCAGATCCCAATAGAGTCTTGTAAAGTACTGGTATTTTTTAAAACCTCCCGTGGGTGGGATTTTAATAATCCTTCATGGGGAGGAAAGAGACACAGTCATTTATTGCAAATGGTTGGGGGAGCCACATGTGATGCTCTGTGTGCAGCTGGGTGTATCCCAGGATATTTAAGCCAGCCCTTTCTCAGGGACACAGCCAGGTGGGGTTTGGTATATGTACAGAGCCCGGAGATGAGCTGACAGATGTTGAGGAGAATAAATCTGTGGGATTCGCAAACAGATGGTGCAGTATACTCTGTGCATTTGGCCATTTTACAAAATGAGCATCATCCATTATTTTAAGTAATGTTATAAATCCCTTTCAGTTGATCCATTTCCACATGTAACTTTTTAGAATATTGCAGAACCAACTGTAAGCCTGGCTAACGAAAGGGAAGTAACACCTCTCAGCTTTCTGTTTGGTGACTCAAACTTAAGAATTCAGTTGCATGTGTTTTGATCGGGCAGCAATAAAAACGTGCACTCTACTAGACACAACAAAGGAGTTTATAGCCTGGTTGCACAACAGCTAAAAGTCAAATATCAGTAGAAGGCCAGTTTCCTGCAGGCCTTCCTCTCTGTCCCCTGCAGATCTGCTCTCCACATGCTTCACTCTGCTCTGGGAAGAATAACATGCTCCCTTCCCTTCTGACTACTGCTCAGGTTTGGCCAGTGGATGATGCTAGCAAGGTCAGAGGACACAACAGAGAAATGGGATCCAGGGTCCTCTAGTGCAGGCTGTAGCTCCCGCAGGCTGCCCTCACCTACAGGCTCTGGTAACTGCCTCTTCCTTTGTCCCGTGGGCCTAGTTGGGGTGGGGTGTTCTCAGAGCACTCCCAGTGCTTCACCCTCCCTTGCTAGTTTTCACTGGCCCTGTCCCCACCTTTGTAAATCGTTCTGTATGAAATTATCTGCAAATCACCCCTTTGGGTGTGTCGTCTGTTTCCAACAGGTATGTTGTATTGACCAGATCAAGGGAGAGGTCCCATTGGTCCAGACAGACTGCCTTTGGGCCACTGTAGCAGGATACCACAGACTAAGGGGCTTAAGCAACAGACATTTATTTCTCACAGTTCTGGAGGCTGGGAAGTCCAAGATTAGGGTGCTGGCCAGTTCAGTTCCTGGTTTTTCCCCCCATCTCTGTAACCTTAGCACCCAGACCAGCACTGGGTACATACCAGGTTTTCAAGTAAATACGAGAATGAACAATTGAGACAGAAGTTGAGTTTGGGTCTAAATAAATGATAGGACTTCTACAGAATTGAGGGAGGAGGAGGGAGACATCAGGAAATCAGTCTAGGAGGCAGTGGATAGATGTCACTTCATAAAAATGCCTCAGCTAAGGATTTCTTTTTATTTATTTTTTTTACTGTGATACCTGTTGCCTGTTACTGCCTCTGTTCACCTCTCCCCTGCAATGACAAAATTATATTTTGATTTTGATCACACTGTCTGGATCCTATGAGTAGGCTTTCCAGATCAGCTTCAGGACAGGTAGCCTTTTGGCACATGTGTCTCGTCAGCCCAGGTGGGAGGGGTGTGAAACTTCATGGCAGATTCCGATCTGTGCCAAGGTTGGGAGCCGGCATGCAGGGGGACAGGCCATAAAAAGATCAGCTTACTACTGTTCAGATTTCTGCAGCTAAGTTTAGAGTCTTTAAAGAGGGAAAACGTCCAAGTGTGCCCAGATGGTAGGCTCAGTGGGTTATTTTAAAATTGTCCATTATGTGGCTTGCTGAAAATGTGCTGTTAGTACTACTATAGGGAATTTGAATGTTTGACCTGTGAATTGGTTGAGTTGGGGAATCTAGAAAGGGCAGAAGAGTCCAGCTTATTTTCTAAGTCAGTTCTGTGACTTGGTGACCCGTTCTGTGCATTGACTTCTCTTTCATCCCGTGAAATGGGATAGTGCTTGCCACCAGGCTCTGGTTATGGATCTTCCGTGGTTGGTTTATTGGGTTTTATTTTTTCCTTTTAATTTACTTTAACAAAAGGAATTGGGCAAGAAGATCTTTGTTCCTTTTTTAACAATGAAATCCAGTTTTCAAAATAGCATTTTGAAAGGTACTGACTTGGCAGATTCATTGCCTCAAGTCTCCTGTGTTCTTCTTGGGAGACCTTTGAAAACCTATACAGACTCTTTAAGCCACAGTTAATGAAGTAATTTCATCTAAGTAGTAACTTCGGCACTGGGATAGTCTAACTCATTATTTAAACATTTATTAAGTATGCTGTGTCCTAAACACCACGACGTGAGGCATATTAAAGGCATAGCCACAGCCCACAGAGCTATGCTTTTTATGTATTTATAGTCTGTCTTTAATTGGGGATTTCACAGTGTTTTATTTTTTATTTTTTTAATAATTTTTTATTGTTATGTTAATCACCATACATTACATCATTAGTTTTTGATGTAGTGTTCCATGATTCATTGTTTGTGCATAACACCCAGTGCTCCACGCAGTACGTGCCCTCTTTAATACCCATCACCAGGCTAACCCATCCCCCCACCCCCCTCCCCTCTAGAACCCTCAGTTTGTTTTTCAGAGTCCATCCTCTCTCATGGTTCCTTTCCCGCTCCGACTTACTCCCCTTCATTCTTCCCCTCCTGCTATCTTCGTCTTCTTTTTTTTTCTTAACATATATTGCATTATTTATTTCAGAAGTACAGATCTGTGATTCATCAGTCTTGTACAATTCACAGTGCTCACCATAGCACATACCCTCCCCAATGTCTATCACCCAGCCACCCAATCCCTCCCACCCCCCCACCACTCCAGCAACCCTCAGTTTGTTTCCTGAGATTAAGAATTCCTCGTATCAGTGAGGTCATATGATACATGTCTTTCTCTGATTGACTTATTTCACTCAGCATAACACCCTCCAGTTCCATCTACGTCGTTGCAAATGTCAAGATCTCATTCCTTTTGATGGCTGCATAATATTCCATTGTGTATATATACCACATCTTCTTTATCCATTCATCTGTCGATGGACATCTTGGCTCTTTCCACAGTTTGGCTATTGTGGACATTGCTGCTATAAACATCGGGGTGCACGTACCCCTTCGATCCCTACATTTGTATCTTTGTGGTAAATACCCAGTAGTGCAATGGCTGGATCGTATGGTAGCTCTATTTTCAACTTTTTGGGGAACCTCCATACTGTTTTCCAGAGTGGTTGAACCAGCTTGCATTCCCACCAACAGTGTAGGAGGGTTCCCCTTTCTCCGCATCCCCGCCAACATCTGTCGTTTCCTGACTTGTTCATTTTAGCCATTCTGACTGGTGTGAGGTGGTATCTCATTGAGGATTTTGATTTGGATTTCCCTCATGCCGAGCGATGTTGAGCACCTTTTCATGTGTCTGTTGGCCATTTGGATGTCTTCTTTGGAAAAATGTCTGTTCATGTCTTCTGCCCATTTCTTGATTGGATTATTTGTTCTTTGGGTGTTGAGTTTGATAAGTTCTTTATAGATTTTGGATACTAGCCCTTTATCTGATATGTCATTTGCAAATGTCTTCTCCCATTCTGTCTGTTGTCTTTTGGTTTTGTGGACTGT